ATGGGGTAGTTCAGACACGATCGAAACAGGTCATTGAGTGTAAGCACTGCCTCTGTGTCTCAGTCCTCCTAACGACAGTGGAGACTCACCACAAGCTAGCAAAGCACCTGGCACCATCTGCATACAAGATTTAACTTATCAAATCATCACTCCCTATCACATTGGTGCTGACACAGTCTCATTCCCTGTCTACACAGAGTCCAGGCTGTTATAACTTCAGCCCAGGAGAGTTGCAGCCACATTCTACTGACATTGAAGTAAACAGAACCGATACTGCACAGTGCAAGCATCCACGTGAGTCACATTCCATCATATGCTTCCCTCCTCATCTACCTCCAGACTATTGGGACTCCTTGTCAGACTGACCTCCAAATCCTTCCCTTGCTCTCCATGACTCTCACTTACGATAGTCTCATAAATGATTTTCCAATCCCCACCCACAGCCCTCCACAATCTATTACATAATCTGATGGAAATGATCCATAAATGTGCGTCAGCCCAGGCTATTTCCTGCTCCAAACTTTCCAGTAGCATCTAAAGCCCTTGGCACTGAATTCTCCCTTGCTGCTAGAGGCCTCGGTGCCTGTGCTCTTACCTCAGCACACCACATACAGTCTTAGACTTTCTGAAGAGACATCTTTTGGCTCCCAAAAGCTTCAAAGTTAATTCAGGCCTCAGAGTCTTTGTATCAACTTTTTCTCAACCTGAAAGTTCTTCTCTAGATCATTTAACCCTGGATCTTTCCAGTCTTTCCAGTACCTCTTGTAATCAGGCTCTAGAACAAGTTTGTCCTGCCTGGGACTCCATCCCAGGAGCCTCAACCCTCTCCTTCAAGTCTCTTCCTGGCAGCAAATCATCCTCACAGCACATCCTGGTAAGTCCTCCCCGGCAGTTAGTTCCTCACTGGTTTATTTCATTTCTTGTTTCTTGCTTGTTCCCTTTCCACACTGAAAGAAAGGTAGGCAGGCACCTTGTCAATCCTGTTATCCTGAGGTCTCGATTAGCCTGGAGGTAATAAGTACCTCACAGTAGACATTCATTAGCACCTGTTGGATAAATGACTGGGTAGGACCCTTTCATGGCTTTCTATTCCCTGCAGCAGACAGGTAACTCTATCAAGGGACATGCCTGCCCCCATCCCAAGCCAAACACACTACCTGGATGCTCTCCTCAGGAGTAGACCCTTCTCTCCTGCTGTGCCATCCTCAGTACGTGTCACTCTCGAGAGGCACCACCTGTCTCTCTTGGACTGATTACATTCTGAGGACTCTTGGAAACCCTGCTTCACACAACCCCTGGAGTGGCACTATCCCCAGGCAAAGCTCCCGTCCTGCTCACGCTCCCACAGTGCCCGGTATTTATCATTCGAGAACAAACCTCTTATCTTTCTGGTTCTGTAACCCCAGGGACGAAACCTGTGCTGGTTATCCAACAAGAAGTCTTTTTTTTTTTTTTGGTTTTTCGAGACAGGGTTTCTCTGTGTAGCTTTGTGCCTTTCTTGGAACTCACTTGGTAGTCCAGGCTGGCCTCGAACTCACAGAGATCCGCCTGGCTCTACCTCCCAAGTGCTGGGATTAAAGCCAACAAGAAATCTTACAACAAGTAAAACTGCTTGGCTACACCAATTTGTTTTTCAGACGTGAAAAACCAGAGATGACCCATTCTTCCCTGTATGACTAGGCTAGAAGACTTCCTGGAACCTGCCTGCTGGGAATCCACATTCCAGGATATACAAGCCTCTCTCCTTTTCCTGCCCCATCACAGCTTGTCACACTGGACACACCCCACAGAGCTACACCCTCTCCTTCCTCCCCATCTGCAGCCACAGGATTACTCTGCTCACATTGGGTTATCTAATCCCTGAAGTGATTAGAGAGGCCAGATGAAGCAATCCTTCCTATTCTCCTACTCCAGAGGGAAGTTTAAATCAGTATGACTTGAAGCCCCGAGGTCTAAATTCAGTGCAGAGGGAGCCAGACCCAGGGAACTGGAGGGTGTTCAGCCACACACTGTCAGGGCAATTCATTGTTTATTGGTCCTCAAAGGGCAAAGACAGAAGCCCAGACTATTGAGAGATAAAATTATTTAATGTAGTGTCTAATACTCCACTGTCCTTTTCTGGAGGTCGTTCATATGGTGGTGTTGCAGAACTTATTTCAAGTTGGTGCGCACAAGTGTATGGTGTATAACCCTTTTGGGAGAGGAGCTTCAAAGACCCCTGACTCCATGCTGTCTTCCTCTAGGAGACATCCTAGCTAGAGGAAGCATTGGGTGCATGCACATCGAAACCCAGAGGGCAGATGAGCCACATCGAAGGAGAAGAGAAACAACCATTCACATGGAATCGAAGGCAGCCACGCTGGGGAGCCTCAGGCTCCTTTAGGTACCGCTCCTTATACAAAGGGCATCTTCCACAGCACAGAAAGGCCTTAGACATTGGTGCTTAAGAACTAGCAGGTGAAATTCGTATCTCACAGAAATGGAAATAATTGCTGTCAATCATTGGTGGTACTTCTCACTGCTAGGCACTAAGCCCAGGGGCAAAGAACTGCAAAGATTCTCACGTAGGTACTAGATATATGTGAAGACAATATCTTTACATCCTAATGAATGAAGCAGGAAAGAAATGCATAACTCAAAGGCAAAAGAATTGGTTGGTTTTTTGGGGTGGGTTTTTTTGTTTTGTTTTCTGTTTTTGTTTTTCAAGACAGGGTTTCTCTGTGTAGCTTTGGAGCCTGTCCTGCAACTCACTCTGAAACCAGGCTGGCCTCGAACTCACAAAGATCTGCCTGCCTCTGTCTACCGAGTGCTGGGATTAAATAAGGGTCCTTAGGAGACAATTTCGTTGACCCCTAAAGATGTACCAACACTTTTAGTCACACACTCCAGCACTTCACCACATGCCCATCTGTTTATCATCACTTCTGTGTTGTGCACGGATGAAGGACACTCATCTCGAACAGAACAGGAAATTGGCAATGGTGAACTCTGTCTGAGGCCTACACACCCCTTGTTCCAGGAAACAGCTAACTTCAAAACATAGCCCTGCCCTGATGCCAGCCAAAGATGCCTGAATGCCAGGAGTCCTTCTTCAGGTGGGCTTGCTGAAGCTGGTTGGATGTGAGAGGGTTGCCAGAGCGACTACCAGACAACTTCAACTTTACTACTATCCCATCCTGATGCCAAGTCTCCTGGCCCTTCCACCCCATGATAACTGACAATCACCAAGGTTAGAGGATCAGAAAGAGACACCTGAGGGAAAAGAGGCAGCAACCAATTTCCTGGGAAGCTCTGCCTATTCCCAGAAGACATGAGATCCCAACCTACTCCAGGCAGAATGCCTAACATCAATAAATCTGACAGCAAATGTTGGAAAGGGTGTGAAGAGACAAGGATCTGATTCGGTCCTGGTGAGGTACAAATTAACAGAGCCATTGTGGAAATCAGTTTTGAGAGTTTCCAAATATTAAAAATAGAACTACCATATGACTCAGCTATTTCACTTCTGGACATTTCCAGAGAATTCCATAACCTACCACAAAGATATGTACACCCCCATGTTTATTGCTGCTTTATTTACTATTGCAAATAGTTGGAATCAACCTAATTGTCCACCAACAGATAAATGAACAATGAAAATCCACTACGTATATACATGTTTATATGTATATATGTACATACATATATATATGTGTGTGTGCATGTATATGCATATACACACATACTTGTGTATATATATACATATATGTGTGTATGCATATATATGTATATATTCCTGTATATATAGTGGATAAATATATATATATATATATATATTTACATGTATGCATGTAGTGAATTTTCAGTGGATAGCCAGTTATAGATTTTATATATATATATAATGGAATATTATTTAGCTCAAAAGGAAATATAATCACAAAATTTGTAGGAAAATGGGTGGCCTTAGAATGTATAATATTGAGGTCACACAATCTCTGAAATAAAAATACTCATGATCTCCCTCATATGTATAATCTACCCAAAACCAAATGTGTGGGGGGGGGCGCATAACATGTAGGAAAAAAACAAGGAAGGCTAAATGGTAGGACAAAAGAAATGACTGAATGTGGGTGGTGCACGTGAGTTACGAAAGAGGATGTAAAGCTGCTTATTTTTCTAGTTCTAACTCTCATGGAATGTTTGGTTTTGGTGGTGGAGAGGTGGATAAAGATATATCTGATAGTGAAGGCATACACTCCATGGCACATAGCTTCTTTTTCCAGTGACCATTCTAACTGCATAGTTCACTGAGATACACAGACTTTGGGTCTGGTTCATTTCGGTGTGGTTTTCTTCTGGAAAATTTTGATAATAACGTTTATAAATGAAACAAAAATCAGTCTCCGTGGAATTAGAGCTCCAGCTGGTTGTTTGGTTTTTGAGGTAGGCTCTGGTGTCTCACAGGCCAGTGTCTAACTTGGTATGTAGCTGAGGATGACCTTGAATTTCTGATCCTCCGACCTCTACCTCCCCGGCGCTAGAAGGGAAAGAAAGCCCATCACACCTTCACACAGTGTTAGAAAACGAACCGAGGTTTTCTGTACTTAGGCAAGCACTCTACCAGCTGGGCTACAGACCGAGATCCTGGAATTGAGAGTTTTTAATCAACACCAGCTAATTGCAGGAAGTTCTTTTTTAGTTGGCTTCACATGCAATATACTCAATTATCACTCCTATCTCTTTACTTTGCTCCCAAAGAAAACACCTTCTTCATATCTACAAACACCAAATCCACTTGGTAGGAAAGACCAGAGAGGAAGCCCAGCAGAGCGGCGGGACGTCCGGAAGCTCTGCCTGTCTACTCACGCAGTTGTGGTCTGCATGTCGTGCCAGCTTCGGCTGAAGTTCTGCTTCAACTCGTTCATCAGGTTCATGCCAAGTTTCTGTTTGATCTCAACCAGGTGCCTTTCTTTGGCCGACAAAACTTGCCGCAGCGTTGTAATTTCGTCTTCCAGCTACAGGTGGGAGAAAAAACGGCGGGGTGAGACATCACAGAAGATGCTTCGGTGGAGGACCGGGATCCTGTTAGTGGCCTCACGCTGCCGGCCCCCAAACTTAACTATGCAAACCACAGTCCGGAAACTGAAACTGGATACAGGATGCTTAGGTTTAGTGATTCCCAGAGCACTCAGTTTCCCTTCTAAAAGATTCAGATTGGGCGCCAAGATAGACAAGAAAATAAAAATCACCTGTAAGTCTACAAGAAAATAGCTATTTTTTTAAATATGCATGTGAGTGTAATCATGCCAAGGCCTGTATGCAGAGTCAGAAGACAATTCACAGGAGTCGGTTCTCTCCTACCGTGTGGGTCCTGGGAGCTGGGGTCCCCTTGTCACCTTGCAGCAAGTTCCCTTAGTGCCTGAGCCATCTCACTGGCCCAATACTTAACTTTTTTTTATAAAGAAAGATTGATTTTGTAATTGATTTTGTAATGCCCACATTAGTTAACAAAACAATTTCTTTTCATGTGTTACTGGTTAATGTTTGCTTATTCTTGTCAGCCACACGTATCCATATTAGGATAGGAATAAATTTGGCCAATAGAGTGCTTTTTAATAAAGGGAGGAACAAGGGAAGTGAGAATCCATGTGAGCAAGTAATTTGGGTTCTCTTTAGCAATTTATTGACATGGAGCTGACACACAATAAATGACATATATCTTAAATATGCAATTTATAAGCATATATACAAGCATATATTACATGGATATACATCTATGTAATCTATGTGTCTATGTATATGCACATACATATGTGTATACATATGTATCCATGCAGCCATACTATCATTAGCACCTGAAAAGTATATATTACCTCCTAGCCATTCTTTGTAATTTTCTCTCCCTAATTCTTCCCTGCCCCCCTAACTCTTGCCCCACTAGGCAACTGCTAAGATTCTTTCTTTCACTCAAGTTCAGTTTGCAGTTTCAAGAGTGTTGTATAATTCTGTCATACCTTGTATACTTGTTTTGCTTGGCCTCATTCACTTAGCACAGTCATTTGTGACTGACCCATGTTGCTGCATTAGCAGTGGCTCCTTCCCTTTTCATTGAAGAGCACTCCTCTATGGGGAGGTTTGCCAGTTGTTAAGGAGCATTTGGATTTAGTGAATACAAATAAAACCACTGTAACAGGCTACCTCCAAGGCTTTGTATGGAGGACATATTTCTTCTTCCCACCATGCTCCATACAAGTAGATCACTATGAAACTGTTTTTACAAGTTAATTTCTAGCTAAGGAATTGCACAAAATACTCAGAGTTTGGGGTACTGCAATATCCTAGAAAACAAATTTAAACTTCCTGAAGTCTGATTTAACTGTGTATCATACTTCATATTACAGCTATGTGGATTGCTCTGGTATTAATGCTTAATTTCCCATCTCTGCTTCCAGGAAGCACAACCATTCGTGCTTTTCTTCAACAAGTCAAGTAAAACCATCGTGAGGACACCCTCAGTACCCCACATGTACAGAGGTAACAGAAGTCTTCCTGTTTCCTGAGAGTTCTGAGTGTGGCGATATTTTATTTGTGCACCGCAATAAAGCTTATCTGAGGATCAGAGGAAAAAGCCAACCACTATATTAAACCAAAAGGTCAGGCAGGGGTAGCACACGCCTTTAATCCTAGCACTCAGGAGGCAGAGATTCATCGGGATCTCTGTGAGTTCAAGGCCACACTGGGAACAGAGATAGGTGTGGTGGCACGTGCCTTTAATTCCTAGCACTAGTTAACCATAGAGGTCTGGAAGTCTGTACAGACAGACAGGAAGTAACAGAGTTGGGCGGAAAGAGGAAGTGAGATGGCAGGGCACAGAAAGGTATATAAGGCATGAGTATACGGGAAGTAGCTCTCTCTTTGGCTGGGGATTTCCTAGCGATAAGAACGTGGCTGGCTTCTTTCTGCTTCTCTGATCTCTCCGTTTTCACCCCAATATCTGGCTTCGGGTTTTTTTTATTAATAAGACCATTTAGCAATTTGTCTTACATCTGAGTTTTTTTAAATGGGGAGCTATGTCTCATTTCCACTCAAAGTATCACTTTATTTCTGACCACATCCTGTGGGTAGTTCTGCCAGGCACCTTGCAAACACGCTCCTTGGGTCACCAGGGAGCAAGCTGCTGAAGAACAGCAACTACCTTTGAAACAAGGAGTCTTTTCTGTGGCATAAGGAAGACTTTCCCCCCCGTGCTGAACAGTAGGAATCAGATTGTGATTTTTCTTCTATTTTGGCCACGGTGAGGATTGAACCCACAGCCTCACACGTGATAAACATGCTCTCTGAACTGCTTCCCCCATGTGAAGCCTCACAACACAGATAACCACTTCAGGAAAAAAGGGACAAGCAGATGAGAACCATCTTAAATAGCACACTATGAAAGAGCAATATCTTAGGGTTTTTAATATCAGGAAAACATTCTGACAGCTTAATATTAGGCATTTCTTTATGCTCCTGGAATGCTTTTATATGTTCTTGGAAAATTTTCCAGAAGAGAGACTGAATCACACATTCCATATGTATTCATAATCAGCCATGGAAGCATGTCTTTTTCTTGATGATGATGAAGTCTTCCCTGTGCATGCGTAGGCAGATAGCTGCAAAAGAAGGACACTCAGACTACCTGAGGGCACATGCTTTAGTCTCCCTACCACAGGAGAACACTGTGTTATTTTAAAAATCACATTTCTCTGTTCTTTATTATCACATCACATTCCACTTCTTTTTATTTTTATCAAAGTGTCTTCCTGTATTTCATCTGCTGCCTAATATGGATATCTCTGGTTCTTTTCCCACAGACAATGCTTGGGTATGGCATCTTCCTCTACTCTTTTGATAGCTAGAGCCCTCCTGCTTCCTTCACTTTGAGTGACTGAAATTGCCGGGAGTCTGTTTCTTTCTTGGGGTGGGATGGATACATGGGGTGTTTCTGCAGTTTCTACTGTGTGATAAAAATCCTGGGAAAAGATTGTAACTTGCAGAAGTAAATTACCGATGTAGGGAAGGAGAAGGGGATGACATATCCGGATAGTTCAGCCTGATGCACATGGGGCTGTGTAGACAAAGTGAGTTACTTACGTGTTGTGAAGGAGAGGAGAAAGAAGACAGAATCAGTTTCCATTCGAATGTTTAATACAAATCTGACCCTCCTCACAAAAATGCTAGAAATTTGAGGTGACCTACTTATCTCCCGTAACCTCTATAGTTTGGATCTGGAGCATGCCCCAAAGTCCCGTGTGTCAAGTGCATAGTTCTCAGCTTGGGAGGTGACAGAAATTTTGAGAAGCATAACCTAGTGGAGGGGAGTTTGGGCGGACACTCATGGGTGATGTTGGGGATGCTGGTTTCTTCCACTGCCTTTTTTTCTTTCTTTTTGCTTCTTGCCAACCATGATGTGAACAATCTTCTCTGCCACACACTCCCACTATGGTGCAATGTACTATCATAGCATCAGTGTTATCTACAGAAACATGGCCAAGTGACTATGGGTCAAAACTTCTGAACCTATGAACCCAAATAAACCAGTCCCGATGCTTGGGGGTTCAATTATAGCAGTGATTTAACTGCAGTTCATACAAATCATACTGAGAGCATATGTAAAATGCAGAGTCCCAGGTACGTGCCTCCATTTTTATCACTCTGAGATTCTGAAGTATCACGTAAGGCCAGACATCTTATAATCTCTGAAAAGGACCTGCAGATATTCTGCTGCAGGTGATATGTCAAGCCTGCACTGTGAGCATTTCATCAGTCACATCAGATCTAAAGTGAGATGAAGTGATGGTAAATCACATTGACCAAAGCATTTAGAATATTCTTTCCCTCAGCTTAAAATTATTTCTTCATTAGAAATAGGTAGTTGGTTCTTTGGTTTCTTTTTTAAATATTATTTATCTATTTGAGACAAGATCTCACTACGTAACGTTGGCTGACCTGGAACACCCGATTTAGGGTTATTTGAGTTTTTGACGATCTCCATGTGAGAAATATTTATGGCCAAGCTTAGACACTTTAGCTGATTATTTAAATATGATTATCAAGAAAACAAGCGCTAGCAAAGAGGTGAAGGAATGGAACCTTTACATATTGCTGATGAAAGGCCCAAGGCCAAGCCAGTCTTTTCCAATCTATATAGCCTGAAGGCAATGTGTGTTGTGGACCTCCCACCCAATGAGGAAGAAACGAAAAGAGAGGAGGGACTTTCAAAATAGGCTCTGCCTATTGATCGTGCTGGCTGGAATTTTCCCACTCCTATTAATCCCTGTTTTTCTTGAGTCATTTTATCTAGGGACATTGGAAGTACCGAATTGTTATGTAACCACAGATTGACAGTGCCGGTGCCAACACGTCCATCAGTCCAAAGCCAGGCAGATTACAGAATACCGTGCATCAAATGCAGCTTAGAAGAAGCAAAAGGGGAAGGGAGGATGCCGAAAGCTGCAGGAAAATGTAATGGAATTCAGCTACTATCACAAAAGCTACTACTTGGAAAGGTCAAGGATATTTCCGAAGGTCAAGCTATGGCTTAAGAAGTCTTGGTGATATTTTAGCTTTTGTATATATATTAGCTGACTCCTGCAATGATTTCCTTGTATGCTATATATGCTTCCAAGAACTCATAACAGTGTATTTTACCTGAAATACGTATCAAGCATCCAAGGCCAAACGACCTCCTGCATTAAGGTATATTAAGCTCAGATCCTCCTTTCTTATACAGCTTTAGTAGTATTTATACTAACATTGTAGACTCCTAACATTTACCGAACCACCTCTAGGAATGTAGTTTGAGCACATAAATTCCCTTTTTCTGATATATTAACCCATTTTAGCTTTTAATTGACCTCCTCCTTTACCACTCCCCTTTTGGGTTGTAAAAGAAAGCCTGACAGTCACTGCCTGAGGAAAACTCTTGTCTGTCTTTATGACCCTGTCAGAATTCAAGCCTGGTGACCTTGCTTTAGCTACAGCACTTGCTATTGCATGGGTATATAACTGTAAACCCCAGAGACTGAGGAGGATTCTGACTGGAGAACTAGATGGAGAACTAGAAGAATGAGATGGAAGATGAGGAAGAGCCAGATGGGTAAGAACGAGATGAGAAAGACCAAGATGGGCAGAACTAAGATGAGAGAATTAAGATAGAACTTAGAAGGGACAGCAGTTAAATGTAGAGAGAAGTCAGGAGCTAGGCATGAGAACAGAACTGAAGCTGTGTAGATAGGATTTTATCCCAGAGGAATAAAGAAGACGGACTAAGAGCTTGGTGTACTTAGATTCTTTTCCTGAAAATAATTCTCGCCGTTTGTAGCTTCTTTTCTGGGCCCCTGGGAAGAAGATTATTAAGGCTGGACCATAATCATTTTCGAGAGGATGACAGCAAGAATTATTACATTTATGTGAAGATAGAGATAATTAGATATTTGAAGACCCTAGGCAGCTGACGATAGGACCGAATGAATATCAGGAATGAAACAGCACTTTGTGATACGGTGATAAGATTCATAAAATCACATACCCCACGGTGGGCACTACCAATACAGAATTTTGATTAAGCTGCAAAATAACTCAAGCTAATTATAAAAAGTCACTGGATACCTATGTACAAACCACTGCACCAGAACAGGAGTAATATTGGTTTCATGTCCAAGGAATTTTAAGAATCCAAGTATAACACAATAAAAGAAACTAGAGTTCAAGTAGTAGTGTTCAAGACATGTTGGCCATGTGGATGGATGGACTTAGAAGATGGTCTGAGGACAGCCTCACAGGGACATTAATAACAAAGTGGTGGGGGGTAGGGCAGGAGGTCTGGGCGGATGGAAGGCAACGGGAAGCCATGAGGGAACCCTGAAGAGGGGTGAACCAGTGTCTGGGTATCTGGCAGACCCAAGACTGCTTTAGACAAGCAGTCAGAGACAAGCAATCCATATACACAGAGGTCTCGCTTTGTCACGTGACTGCACTTTGCCCGATACAAAAGTAGATCTCAAAAAGACTGGTGGTCTCTGAGGAATCTTTAAAATTTTTTAAAGGATTTATTCATTTATTTAGGAATGAAGAGGGCATGCACATACCATGATGCACATGTGAAGGTCACAGGACAATTTATGGGACTTGATCTCTCCTTCCACTAAGTAAGTCTCAGGGATCTAACTAAAGTCATCAGGCTTGGCTACAGGCACCTTTACCCACCTAGCCATCTGCTGGCCTCTGAGAAGTCTCCATATCCGGTGCCTAAGAAACCCAGTAAGACCTTCCAGATGCAGAGAAGAGCTACCTTTGACCTAGGAGACCACCTGTGGAGGGCTGAGACAGGGGCTGAGCTTTTTTGACAGTGCTGAGACTGCTGAGGGTGATCTCTGCGTGTTCTTGTGGCAACTGGATGCTAGTACTGCCGGTAAAGTTGGAATGTGTCTGCGATGAAAAGGCCCCATAGTGCTGTGCATGGGCAGGACATTCCGAGCAAGAGCAGAGAAGGAGGGAAAGCTGACTTGGGAAAAGGGCAAGGCCAAGGTGGGGGGTAGCGAGGGAGAAGTGGAAATGGATAAGGGAAAATATCAAAGATACATGTGACTGTCTTTTCACTGTCTGGAGTACAAACCCCGCACAATTGTCTCTGGAAGTCATGATGCTAACTTTGACCCTTGGTGAGTCTTTACCCCTGAAGTACCCAGAAATAAACAAAGTATTAAAGTCAGTGCACTGTGAAGGATGGAATCATGAATCCCAGAAACCCGAACACAGTTACAAAAGGGTCTGGTGTTATCATCAGGATTCTGACTTCAAAAGTATCAGAAATAAAACTTGCTGGATGCATAATGCTGTGACCAAGAAGACAGGGAATTCTGAGAATGTTGCTGGGCGTTTGCATTCAGGGAGCATCCAACTAAAACCAATGCTTGATCCCCCCCCCCCCGATAATAATATATTAAAATGAAATTAATTTAAGGGCAGGAACACAAAAGCAAATACTAAACAATTTCATCTATATTTGATTTTTTTTAAAAAGCCCCATAGAAACAGAGTAAAATAGTGTTTACTGGAGGCTGGAGAGGAAAAAGAGGGATGTGAGGAGAAAATGGTCAAAGGATACAAGATTATTTTGGATAAGATTAAGTTCTGAGGCTCCACTGCACAGTAGGGTGATAATATTGATTATACATTTCAAACTAACTAGGAGCCTGAATGGTCTCATCACAAAGAAGAGCTCGATGTATGAGGCAACAGATACATGACGCATCTTTTTTGACTGCCACATGCTATTCTCATGTATGGATATATCACACTGTACCCTATAGACACGTGCTATTGACATGTGTCGATGAAAATAAAATGAAAATGGATAGCAGGGTGTACTGGTAAACATTGGTATAACCTAAACTCAGAAGGCCAGGAAGGATTGTTGGTCCCATGTCAGTCTGGGTTATATAGCAAGATTCTGCCTCAACAAAACACGATGTAAATAATAAAATTACAGAATCAAACTTTAAGCAATTTATTGCGATTAATTAAGACCTTACTATAACAGTGAACTATCATAGTGCATCAGCTGTGGTGGGGCCTGAGGCTGGCCTGAGCCTGTGGGAAGGTGCCAACAGAAAGGCAAAGCCTTGCTTTCGTGGGGAACAAGAGCTTCCTGCCCTGCGAACCGGATATGGAAGGAATGATGGTTTCTACCACCATCTCTTATCCTCCTGCTTCACTCTGCTCCAGGAGCTCTTCTCCAGCCCTCTCCAAGGAAGAGACATCTCTAAGCAGTGAGTGAATGGGTGGGAGGGTACCACTTGCAAAAGACTTGGCACAGACCTGTGCTTAGGATGAGCCTGGCATTCTCCTTTCCTCGAGGATGGGTCCCTACAGCAGCTACACACGCTCCAATTAAGCCCTAGTTAATTGTAGCTTACCTCTCCACCCCAAGACTTGTTCTTCTTCAAAAGAGCCAAACCAGCTGCTCTCATGGTTGTTGTTTTCATTAAAATAATACAAATTCCGAAGAATTGCTTTAAAAAAAGGAGATTACACCCATGCCGTGGTTTCTTTCTTTCTGTATTTTGTTTTGTTTCTGAGACAAGGTCTTATGTAGCCCAAGCTAGCCCGGAACTCACTCCATATCCCAGGCTAACCTCCACTCTTCAGCTTCCTGCCTCAGTCTCCAGAATGCAAGGAGAGCAAGCATGCACAGCCACACCTGATCTGCCCCAGGGTTTTGAACACATTCCATCTGATTCATAAGCGATTAACATGTGCACAACCTCTCTACACTAAGGAGAACAAGAAACACACACTTAACACTAATTATTATTGTGGACTAAACAGCACCGCCATCCACTTTACTGCAGACACAACCAGGATTCCAAAAATACCTTGGGTAAAAATGAATCATCCTGCAATGTGTTCATTTATGACACTTTATTACATGAAAGACAACATAATTGCAATCTGGGACCTGTGTTGAGCGGAAGATAGAAAGAGAAGATTACTAAACATACCTGAACTAATTCTGCCTTTAGCTCCTCCTTCTCCTCCTCAGAGAGCATGCTAGAGAAGTCGGCACTGGCTATGGCATCCTCATCTCTTCCTTGCAGTGGTTCCGTCTCCAATAAGCCTTCAGGCAAAGGGGACAAAACATAAACAAGTGAGGATTATACATCCCGCTATCTTCCATTTCTGTAACCTGCAGAACGCCACATACTGATTCACCCTCACACTAAAAACGCAACCAAAAATTCACCCAAAGACGAACAGGAACAAAGCCCTCGTCCTAAATGTGTGGCGGACTCCAAGAGAGCAAATATTGAGAAGCCTTGAACAAAAGAAGCAATCAAAAAACCCGAGTGTCAAGGGAAAGGCAGAATGTAAACAAAGGGCTGGATAGACTGTTCAGTGTTAAGATCATGTACTAATCTCACAGAGGACCTGAGTTCGGTTCCCACAGCAGAATGCGCACAATTACCCGCAACTCCAGCTCCAGGGATCCCACACCCTCTTCTGGATAGAGGGTACCTGCACTCACATATACACATACCTCCCCAACACACTCTTATACACATAATTCTGAAAATAAAAGACGTCTTTAAAAAATATAAACAAAGTAAGCTGTCACAGAATTTTCCTGGGTCATACAGGTTCATCTTTAACTGCCTCATGGGTTCAGAAGGCAGAGAATAAAGCCCACACAGGGAAAGAAACTGAGACTCAGCCTGCCTTTCCTGAAGGCGTCTGCAAGGTAACCTGCCTGGTTCTGAAACTCAGAGCTGAACAACAGACCAAAAAAAGAAAAGAAAAGAAAAGAAAAGAAAAGAAAAGAAAAGAAAAGAAAAGAAAAGAAAAGAAAAGAAAAGAAAAGAAAAAATGCCTGTCCCTACCCCGCCCCAACCTGAGAACTCAATACCCTATAGTGGGCTGCATGCAAGCCTACTGCTTAGATGGACTTTGCCTGCAAATAATCAGAGCCCAGAAAACTACTTTCTATTTTTGATGTGGTAACATGCAGAGGCTAAAACAGCCACACTTAGAAGAAACACAGAAACAAATGGTTCCCCAAAGAGGAAAAGGTGGGAAGTACCTGGGGTTTTGATGCTATCCTTGGAGCCCAGACTAACCCCATGATAGCTCAATTTATAACTGATTTCCATATTGGTTGTACAAGTTTGCCATCTTAAGACATTTAAAAAAAATATCAAAGAAGATATCAGACAATGGAAAGAGCTTGACCATGTTTATGGATCAGTAGGAATAACAGTGAAAATGGCCAATTTATCAAAAGCAATCCACAGAGTCAATGCAATCCCCATCCAAATTCCAATAAATTCTTTACAGAAATTGAAAAGACAATTTTCAGCTTCATATGAAAACACACATACAGACACATACACACACACACACACACACACACACACACACACACACACACACACACGATAGCAAAAAAAATCAGAATAACAAAGAACTGCTGGAGGTATCACTATTCCTAATCTCAAACTGCACTTCAGAGCTTTATTACTGGCATAAAAACAGACACATTGATCAGTGGAATAGAACTGAAGACCTAGCTGTAGGTCCACACACCTATGGACCCCTGATTTTTGACAAGGAAGTCAGAAACACACACTGGAAAAAAGATAGCATCTTCAACAAATGGTGCTGGTCAAACTAGACGGCTGCATCTAGAAAAATGCAAATAGATCCATGTCTTCTACACCGTACAAAACTCAACTCCAAATGGATCAAAACCTTGACATGAGGTCAGATACACTGA